CATCCTCAGCTTCCTGGCTCTACTGGAAGAACCCCCTGTTCCTCTCATTATAAACTTCCTCCAAACTATTCTCCACTTATCATCCATCAAAGCCTTTGAAATCATGAATTACTCTCTATAATCTCTTCTTTTTGCACTTAGAATAAGAGAATAATAATAACAATAAAGTGCCAACACTTATCCAAGTCTCACAAAGCCCTGTATAATCCTATCCTTGTCCAACCCTCTGGCTCACACTGTGTTACTCCTCTTTTGTTCCCAGAGAAAAGGTAATTTTCTTGAACAGGAAATAACAGACAAGATGAATGGGAAAATATCCCATGACACCCTTATGTCCAAGAGAAAATATGACAAGTTTTGCTGAGATCCCTCTGGCTAAAAAGTTGCTAATGATAATGAAAACAAAAGGAGAAATTACTTCAACAAATGCAATTTGCTAAAGAGAAAAATAAAAAAAATTTTTTTGCAAGAGTGTTCTTTTCTCCAAATTGATGCAATATAGATGTAATTTGGCGTGTCCAATGCAGTGACCTCTGTGGGCCAGGACACCGAGATGAAGACCTTGGGAAAAAGAGCTCCAGGGCTGGATCCCTGACAAAATGATTACACAACATATAAATGTGGTTAATGCCTTTAACCGCAAACAGCTGTCTCCTACATCTGTCCCTCTCCAACCACTGGGTGATGGTCAGCGGCTTGCAAATCCTAGGTGTGGTTTGTTCAGACAAGGATATCCATCTGACTTTATTATAAACTAATCTTAGGAGTGGCAAAGGCCATATTGAAACAGAAAGCCCCAATATCCGAGAGGCCGCTTTCAAATATTTCCCCGCCTTGGCTTTTGTGTTGTTTCCAGCAATTTTATTTTCCTAAGAATGTGGCTTCCGCAGTACCATCTGTTTCCCTATCAGTTGCAACGCCAGGGCGTCAAGCCTGCACATGTCTTTCATCGATGTTGCAGGAGGCTCCCAATTGCACAGATATGTGAATGAATTCCCTACCCTGGAAAATCTGAAAATGTGGATTCTCATTTGCAGAAAGAAGCGTGCATTGCTAGTGAATACAAAAAGTGAAATCCACAAAAACATTTCAAAAGGCTATTTGTACTGGAGTCATCTCTGACCACTAATGCTGGTTTTAGGGGTGGAAAACGTTCGTGCATTCTCAAGCACAGCACATTCTTCTTTCTTTGAAGAAGGGAACAATTAGGAGAGACTATCTTGAAGCCCAAGTTAATTGGGCTTTTGCTTGTCTAACCTATAGGAAGTTCTTTTGGGGCTTGTGAAATGATTAATAAATGCAATGAATGCAAGCAAATATGTAAGGTATGGGTTTCAAAAGTACAATTATGTGGAATAAGGTTTATGGAGGTATGGCTCAGCAGCATGGCTCATGCCTGTAATGCCAACATTTTGGGGAGCCAAGGTGGGAAGATGGCTTGAGCCCAGGGATTCTAGATGAGCCTGGGCAATATAGTGAGGCCCCATCTCTACTAAAAATAAAAATTTAAAAAAATTAGTTGGGCATGGTGAGACGTGCCAGCGGTTCCAGCTACTTGGGAGACTGAGGCAGGAGAATTGCTTGAGCCCAGGAGATCAAGGCTGCAATGAGCTATGATCGTGCCACTGCACTTCAGCCTGGGTGACAAGAGTGAGACCCTGTCTCCAGAAAAATTTTTTAAAAATAAGTAAATAAAAAGGTTTATAGAGATACAAGAAGGGGAATTGTTTGGAATACAATTATTTCCCTTTAGCATTTTATGTCAGTTTTGTAACAGTTTTGATATAGGATGTGCTAAATACCTCAACTTCCATGTTCGACATATTAGCATATGAGAATCATTTCCTTAAAGCAAATGGAAATAGGAACGTAGCACGTTGGCATGTGTACTCAGTTCACAAACAACATACACTTCACCGTTCAAAACATACGACATTGACACAACGTGAGCAGCCTGCATTCCTAGCTGAAGTTGCACCGACTCATAAACCCACAGAACTGGAAGGCAATGTAGTAAACACATTTAAGCCTCCCACAAGGCCTGTGAGCAGTGTCTGCTGAAATCAGCATGGCTTGAGTTACAGGTACCTCTTTTGAAGTTTGGTTGGCCTCCCGAGTTATGGAACTGAATATGTTTGCATAGGTTTATAGAACAACAGGACTAGGAAAAAACCTCAGGCCAAGCCATGTTTTTCCTAATTCTGTCTAGGAATAAATGCATAAATCCTAAAATACTTTCGCGACTTTGCAGTGTCACAATTTCTTATTAGGAGCTTCGACTTCTAACCACCTTCAAAAGATGTCTCAAGTGTCATGGCTGATCCAATACAGGTCAAAACACAAAACAAGCTTAAAGGAAGCAAAAACCTGTCCACAGTATCTTAAGATCCAGTGTAGAATTAATACTTTAAAATATATTTAGCACTTCGAGACTTGACTGGGCAACATGGTGAAACCCAGTCTCTGCAAAAACTATAAAAATTAGCTGGGCATGATGCTGAGTGTCTGTGGTTTCAGCTGCTGGGGAGGCTGAGATTGGAGAATCAATTGAGCCCCCAGAGGTTGAGGCTGCAGTAAGCTGTGATTGTGCCATTGCACTGCAGCCTAGGCGAGTGAGACCCTGTCTCAAAAAATATATGTAAATTTATAAATTTTATAAATATAAAATTACATATTATATATAAACTACATATAATATATAACTATATAGTATAAATATGTTTTTATAAAGTTGTATAAAGTTTATACAATTTTTATAAGGTTTATACAGCTTTATAGATATTTTATTTATACAAATAAAGAATATATATTATATGTAATAAATCATATATAAAATCTATAAATTATATATAAATATGTAGACATCTAATTATAAATGTATATAAATATATAATATAAATATATATTTATAATTGTCTATTTATAGATATAAATATTTATACATAAAATATATATATGTTTAGATATATTTAAATATAGCAGGGGAAACACTGTGTCATCTTTTGGGAGTTCACATGGTCCTGTTAAGGTTTCGATGAATACTCTTTAATGGCTTCTGGTTTTCAACAAATCAAGTGCATGCTTCCTGCTTTTGTTGTAAAGTCCTCAAACATGTGCCTCTGCCTGCATTCATGACTTATGATTTCTGTACCCCGCCCTTCACAACACCCACACTAAGTGGCTTGTCTTTCTACGTGCCGGCCCCACACCTTGCTTCCTTTACCACATGGATGTCCTCACGCTATTTGTTCTCTATGCGTTTGTGTGCAAATAAAATCCATTCTCTAATGCTGGGCATGCATGGGTCTTCCTCCATGAGATTTCGTGAAGGAAATCTTACGTACTGCTGATGTTGATTGCATTGATTGATCAATTTACAGTCCCAGAGACATATTCTATAGAGGAGATGAGTAAAAGACCAATTAACACGGACTTGCAGACCGTCTACCCCAAACGTTGCCTTGTTGAAAGAAGGATTTCGTAGAGAAAACTCTCCCCGCAGCTCCCTCTGTGTGTGGTTCATATACCTCCTAGCCAGGTACAAGGCATGCCACCTTGTAATGCTCCTTCCTACCTTATTTCTCCCACACTGTGGCATGCACCTGGCTGATGGACCACGCCTCAAAGCTGCTGAAACGCCAGCCTAAGCCACACCTGAGGTAACCCATTTTCAGAATGGTCGTTCCAGACACGTGGTGCCCAGATGGGAGCCGCAGTTTGAGCTTTCATTTTTAAAATTTGCTTCCACTGCAGAAATTAATGTTCAAATAACTGAAGCTTACAGGGAGCCTGTTTATAGTCAATACCATAGGTTAAGATTAGAGATGATGTAATTCCTTAACCATAGACATACTCTCCAAACGCATGAACACAGAGAGGAAAATAGTGTGTAGGCAGCTGTTAAATTGCTCCCTGATGACTTCGCCTCTGCCACGTGGACTCTCTTCCTTTGACATGGTCTGTCTAGTCTTGTATTAAAAATAAAATCTCCCTTATATTAACGAAATACAAAATATTAATGTATTTCAGACTCCAACTGAAATTTACACTGGAATCTACACCACCAGCTCTCCTGGGTCTCCAGTTGTAGATAGCAGATCAGTTTTCAACCTCCATAGTTGCCCAGGCTGCAGTGCAGTGGCACAATCACAGCTCATTGCAGCCTCGACTTCCCAGGCTCTAGTAATCCTCCAGTCTCAGTTTCCCTGAGTAGCTGGGACTACAGTCATGTGCCTGCACACCCAGCTGTGTATTTCCTCTTATAGGGATATAAAATTATGTCATTCGTCTTCTTGTTGACTTCTTGTAACCACCATGAAAGCATGACTCTTGTCTGTCTTATCCTCTTCCCCATCTCCAGAGCTTGGCACACACTAGCAGCTCTACAATTAGTTGTTGCATAAATGGCAAATGAAGGAGTATTGCATTCTCTGCCTAGAAGTCCCTGCCCCCTCTCCCTTCCCCAGAAGAAAACTTCTTACTGGCTAAGATGCTGTTCTCACCTCAGTGCTTCCAAAGGAGCCTCAGCAGGTCAGGGTCTATCACTTCATGTGTATTTATCCCCAAATTCAGATATTATTTGGCTCAAAGAATGCACTGCAAATATTTACAGAATGAACCATTGAAGGAAGAAAAGAAACATGCATGAGCAAATTCTCTGTTTCTGTTATAAGAGGCTGTGTCAGTCAGCTATTGGCATATAACAAAGAATCCCAAAATGCAGTGGGTTAAAAAAAATCTATATTATATACTCACTGTTATATGGGACAAAAATTCAGGCTGTACTCAATGGTTGCTTCTGAGGTCTACCAAGCAGAGGCCTAGAATGATGCTGAGAATTCTGCAATGCACATGGCAGCTTCCATGACAAATAATTTTCTGTCCCCAAATGTCAATAGTGCGAATGTTCAACAACAACAAAAACCTGCTTCCTCTAAGTCTGAGTTTATTAGGTACATTTCTTTTCTTTTTTGACTTTACTTACGTGTGTGTGTGTGTGTTTAATAATGAAATGCTTCACGAATTTACCTGTCATCCTCGCATGGGGCTTGCTAATCTTATCTGTATCATTCCAATTTTAGTATATATGCTGCCAAAGTGAGCACATTAGGTACATTTTTATCTTCCAAGTCACTGCAGGCTACAGTTTTGCTCTTCCAACACAACATACCACTGGTTGCCATTTTTTTCTAGCCTTTGGTAGCAGTTACCTTACTATTTTCCCAACCTTCATTCACCACTCAGTTTCAAAGCCAATGAAGCATGTTTTAAGCTTTTGTATGAGAGCAACCCCCCACCCACTTCACGTATGAATTTCAGGATCTGTTACCTATTTTTTTAAATATAAAATCAACTATAAGCTTAGTGCCTCAATATCACAAACATTGTATTTGCTCATATGTCTGTGAATCAATAACTTGGACTGGGTTCAGTTGGGCAGTTCTTCTGTTGGTCTTGCCTGGGATCTTTCATGCAGCTTCCATTATCTGGCAGCTTGATGAGACTGGATGGTCTAAGGTACATTCATGAACACGTCTGTTGGGCAGTCTTGTCTGTCAGCCTAGAGTACTGAGGCCACCCCATATGAAGAAGCCAGGGTAGCCTTTTTGAGATGAGTCACCATGAGAAAGATTCAGCTGACAGCCAGCACCAATGGCCAGCTATGTGAATACACTCCCAGCTTACACCATCCATTTTCAGTCAAACTGTCAGAGGACTGGGACCACATAAGGCACCTTCAGGGAGACCCACAGAAGAACCATCCAGCTGAGCTTAGTCTGAAATTTGTGACCCAAAGAGTGATGCACAAATAAAATGGTGATTGTCTTTAGCTACTAAGTGTTGGGGTGTTTGTTACACAGCAATAGGTAATGGATATAGGTCCTTAACTAGCAAATAGATTACCTCATGGAAATGTGGAAACTCCCACTCCTATATTTATAATTAATTCCAACGTGGAAAAGAAACTCACTATTGATTCTGTGAGGCTAAAACTGATGTGAAGGTAGTGGAAAGCCAGTGAGCAAGTGGTGGCTGGTTTGAGCTAAAGTGCTTCCTCAGGGAAGCATACTCTTCCTAAATTGCTGCATTGTGGGTCTGGACCAAGGTGAGCTTGGGTTTCTGAGGGGAGTTCCCTTACAGTAGGGGAAGTTATACACAGTGAAATAGACTTACAGTCACTCGTTGCTTAATGATGGGGATACATTCTGAGAAATGTATCACTGGGCGATGTTGTTGTTGTGCAAACATCCTGCAGTGCACTTACACAAACCTAGATGGTCTAGCCTACTACACACCTAGGCTATATGGTGTAGCCTGTTGCTCCTATGCTACAAACCTGTGCGGCATGTTCCTATACTGAATACAGTAGGCAATTGTAACACAAATCACTAGGCAACAGGAATTTTTCAGCTCCATTATAATCTTGTGGCACCATCATTTTATATGCCGTCCATCATTGGCCATACATTCTGTAGCAGTGCATGACTGTATCTGTTTTAGATAGGATTTCCTTTGTTTGTAACTTTGTTACCAGGAAGGGGGTCCTGATTCAGACCCCAAGAGAGGGTTCTTGGATCTCGTGTAAGAAAGAATTGGAGGTGAGTCCATAAAGTGAAAACAAGTTTATTACAAAAGTAAAGAAGTAAAAGAATGGCTACTCCACAGGCAGAGCAGCCCCAATGGCTACTGGTTGCCCGTTTTTACAGTTATTTCTTGATTTTATGCTGAACAAGGAGTGGATTATTCACGAGTTTTCTGGGAAAGGGGTGGGCAATTCCGGGAACTCAGGGTTCCTCCCCTTTTAGACCATATAGATTAATATCCTGACATTGTCATGGCCTCAGTAAACTGTCATGGCGCTGGTGAGAGTGCCTTCCAGCATGTTAATGTATTATAATTAGCATATAGTGAGCAGTGAGGACAACCAGAGGTCACTCTTGTCACCATCTTGGCTGGCTTCTTTACCACATGCTGTTTTATCAATAAAGTCTTTATGATCTGTATCTTGTGCCGACCTCCTGTCTCTTCCTGTGTCTTAGAATGCCTCACCTCCTGGGAATGCAGCCCAGTAGGTCTCAAGCTTATTTTACCCAACCCCTATTCAAGATGGTGGAGTTGCTCTGGTTCAAATACCTCTGACCACTTGAATTTGATACAGTAAAATGCCTTTGCTGCATAATCTATGGCGGTTTCTCAGATATTACAGTCTCATTGGATTTTCAAACAAAGCACTAACCATGTGCATAGTCAAGACTTGTGTGAAGAATGAAGGCGTTACATTATGTGTTTGCATATCACATTTTGACTTTTGCTAGAAAGGGCCAATCTGAACTATAACTGAGATTTTTAAACATTTTTCTTTGGGGGTAATTGATTTTCTTTCATTAATCTTCTAGCTTGCATCCTTCATTCTCCTAGAAGTTAAAAGCATATATAATCTAAGGAAGATTCAGTCTGTCTGTTTTTGATTTATTTTATAATAACTCACTGAGTATTTTTTGTATGTACAAGAAGTATTCTGAGACTACTTAATATACTATTTTGATCTTTCTTCTTTTAAAGTATGAAGCCATATATATATATATATATATATATATATTTTTTTTTTTTTTTCCCCTAAGGGTAGGAATCTGGAAGAGATTTCAGTGATGATCAAAACAGCAAACTCATGAATTTTGAATGGTTTCTAAACCTAGAAAAAAGAACTCTCTGAACCTTCTTTGCTTTAGAAGAAAATCAGATTTTGACTCCCTGGCCTTGCACAAATGCTTATTTTTTTCTTCAATTCACCTAAGATTTAATCTTATATAATGCTTTGCTTTTCCTTCCAATTATATTTAACCTCGTTGAAACATGTCAAATATATACAAATAATCTAAAGGATCATTTTAAACTTTCTTTCCCCCAGCACAGGGAAATACTTAAAAAATATGGTTTAAATTGGGTGATGATTTTCTAGAAAAATTTCATCGCAATCAGAAGGAATTAAGTTTGCAAAATTAAGTTTGCAGTTCTTTCTACATAAGTAAATGTAAAATTAAGTTTATAGTTCTTTCTACATAAGTCAATAAAACATTAGCAAATATTAGTAAAACTCCCCCAAAGCTCCCCACCCCCAGTAAATGCATATGTGTGTGTGCAAGAAGCATTATAATGAAACACTTAACTTCCTTTGCCCTGAACTAGAACCAGATGCCTTGGGAGGGGGGTTGAGGCAGGCTGGCTGATGGACTTGTATTGTATTGCAAGTTATGCTAAAGTGATTTTTAGAAATGAACTGCTTTTTCCCATCTCCTTTCAGCAGTTTTCTGGAGCTGGAAATAAAGAAAAACCCCTACCCCTGACCTACTGGACCTTAGGAGTTAAAAATCACCACCTTAATTTATCATTCCTTCATTGGCAGTTGTAAAGGGAACTAAGTAGTCTGTTCATTTACTCTTAACATTTATTTGGTGCTACCATTTACCAGCATCGCACCAGGTGTGGAGGAAAATCAGAGAGGAAGAACCCTGAGCCTCCAGGTGCTTTCGATGTATGTGGTCGAGGAGTCGACACGTAAACAACAATCATCATGGACATGGTGTGTGATGGGTGCAGGGGACAGGGAGGGGCCTCAGGGAAGCTGGGCTGGCCAGGGGGCAGGCAGAAAGTGGTGTTGGGGTGAAGAGACAGAGGCAGCGAGGATGCCAGAAACACCCCCTAGGAGTGATTAGATTGGAAGGGTGGGTAGGAAGTAAATGAGGCCAGTCAGTGAATGTCCTTGTTTACCATGTCACCCATTAAAAAAAAAGTGTTTCATTTTAAATATTTGTACATTTTACAAATCTCTCTCTCTATCAATCTTTCTCTGTGTATATCAACATACATATAATATATGACAATAGAGATGAGAATAAATAGAAGAGACAGATAAAAATATATTATAATAGATGACAGAGAGGTTAGATTAGACTGTCACATAGATAATGATAGATGATAAATACATTCAATAGGTAGATGGATGGATACATAGATAGATAAATATATAGATAATGATAGATAATAGATTCAGTAGATGAATGGATAGATGGATAGATAGATATTGATAGATGATAGATTCAACAGATGGCTGGATGGATATATGATAGATACATAGATAATGATAGATGATTAGATTCAATAGATATGTGGATGGATAGATAGGTATGTGATAGATAAGGATAGATGATAGATTCAGTAGATGGGTGGATAGGTGATAAATAGCTAGCTAGCTAGCTAGATAGGTACGTTCAATAGATGAATGGATGGATAAATGGATGAATGGATGGTTGGATAGTTATAGAAAGATGATGGATAGATGAATAGATAGGTAGATAGATTATTTTGACAGCTTTCAAAAATTTCAGCATTTAACTTACCATTTTTATTTTTCATAAGGTTTATATGAGAATTCATACTTTTCTGGATGGTTTAAAACAACTTTTGAAGATTTCGAACAAATACCCGTTGACTTATAATTTTATTTTTCTAGTAACTTTCTGAGGAATGTCTTATTTATCTGCTTTCCCATAGTCATTACAGCACTATTCACAATAGCCAAAATATGGAGTCAACCAAAGTGTCCATCAGTGGATGAATGGGTAAAGAAAATGTGATTTGTATACACAGTGGAATGCTATTAAGTCTTAAAGAAGAAAGTGTTGGCATTTGCAACAACATGGATAAATGTGGAGGATATTATCCTAAGTGGAATAAGCCAGGCACAGAATGACACATACTGCATGATCTCATATGTGGAATCTTTGTATTCTTTAGTTCAAGGTTCTCAATGTGGGTGCTGTTGACACTTGGGGCTGGAGGGTTCTCTGTGTTGTGGTCGTCCCGTGCACTTGTAGGGTGTTGAGCAGCATCCCTGGGCTCCACCCACCAGATGCTGGCAATGTCCACTCTCCAATCATAATAACCCAAAATGTCTCCAGACATTGCAAATGGCTCCTGATGGTTTGAAAGTCAAAGAGGGCACAGTACCCAAGCCTTAACATACATTTCAAAATGACTTTGAAAGAAAGTCAGAAAAAAGAAATTCAGCATCTTTAGGGACCAGATGCCCACTTAGGAGCCCTCA